AAATACCAGCAGGTACCAGCCAACGGTGTGTCTGTCACCTTCGGTGTGACCTCTTTTCCTCACTCATTTACTATACTTTGCAAGATTAAGTTAGGTAACGTATTCAATTGGATTCGGAATTAACTATTGCGCAAAGGATTTTTCAAGTGGCGTAGCCAACATGTCCAAGTGGGGGGAAGAACTCAATGGGCATCTGGCCAACAAAATGCAGTGAGCCGCCTATGCTGTGGGAATTTTGATACACACGTTTCCAATGGGAAATGGTTGTCAAACACGGAATCAACCCGAAAAAACTTCTACTTCGATGGGTCACTTACGGCGACTCAGATTACAGCGTTGCCAGAGAACGTGGATGGCAAGAACCGATTAACCTGCGAGCAAACACTACTCGCCAATCTATACTTGTGCCTGGGGGAGAAAGGACAGGAGGAATTTCATAAAATACGGCCGCACATGGATCTTGGGGCAACAGGCTATCCTCGGGTAGTGGACGCACTGGAGGCGAGATTTTAAAAGGAGCGGAATGAAACATATGAAACGTTCCAGCTACTATCGCGTAAACAGCAAATCAACCAGTCACTTGAACAATTTCACTCGGTACTCAGCGGATTGGCGTCAAGGTGCATTTTTGGCACGCTGGAGGATCGGATATTAAGAGACGTTTTCATAGTAAAAATGAACAATCGGGAAGCGCAGAATGAACTCTGTAGATCAACGAAGACTCCAAAAGAAGTATACAAAAACGCTTTGTCATACGAGCGAGGCGATAAGTACGCAATTTCTTACGTTTCTACAACAACCGGAGACGGAATATTGTCGACACCATCGGGAGGTAGCATTCAAATCAAGCAGAAACCGGTCGGAATTATCAGAGGGGGATACAGGAACTCGCGTCAATGAGAAAAGGGATCGTATTCTGGACGCGGATTTGCAAGAGGAGGAGGATTTAATCAGACGAGCAGGAAGTGTTATAATTGCGACCAACCGGGATTTACCCCGGATTACATGAGCAAATGCCAAGCGAAGAATGTTACGTATAACCATTGCAAGAAAATTGGACACTATGAGAGAACGTGTAGAAGCAAGCATCCAACTAGCAGGGAACGAGGGGGAGTAAACAGGATTCAGGAACAAGACGGGGAACTTTTGGAATATACTGATGCAGCGGAGGATGGTTCGCTTGAACACGGAAGTTCGGTTGGCTGGGTAGATCAACCGGCGGTGTCAGCACAGTCGCGCTCGTGGGATTCAGATAGTTCGGGCGATCATATGGTAATGGCCATGCGATCCAAGGAGGCTACAGAGCTCAAGGTGGCGGGAGCACAACTATCAGTGAAAATTAACGGAAAGGCTACACGAGTGTGGATTGATAGCGGATCTCGAACGTAACGTTGGAGAGTTTATCACAGAAGGACACTGAATCTGGCGATTATGGAAATAACCCACTGAAGCTGCTTTGAGTAATGAATGGCGACACAGCTAAGCCCGTGGCAGTAATAATTCAGTAAGCAATTTGCGAATCTTTTTAATGGAGCAGAGAAAATTAAGAACTATAAAGTGCAGGCGGATTTTTTTGCAGGAAAAGGTGGATATGGAGATTGCGAAATTACTGAAACAGGGTCATATTGAAAAATTGAGTGAATGTTCGGATAAATACTTCGTCTCGCCAATCGTTATTACCGTAAAGAAAGATGGGTCAGTTAAATTAGAACTGGAATCTAGGGAATTGAACAAACAAGTCCACAAAAAAAACATTAAATGCCGAATATTGAAGTTTTATTGGATACCGTTGGACAAACTATAAGTGAACGAAGGCCGGGAGAGATTTTATTTTCAAGGCAGAAAACAAGTATTCGACAAATGAACTTGATATGTTAGCGATGGTCTGGGGGGCAAATTATTTCCAAAACTATGTGCTGGGCAGGAAATTCTACGTGATTACAGATCATAAGGTTTTATTCTCTCTTTTGAACAGAAACAAAAAGAAAAACAAGACGACGTTTAATCGGCTTACAAGATGGTTAGATCGTTTGATCCCTTTTCAATTTGAAGTAGAGCATAAGCCGGGGGCGAAAATTGGTTTGGCGGATTACTTATGTCGTAATCCAAATGACGCCGCGGTGCCGGTCAGCGTATACGATAGTATGTTTACAGTAGCTAAAATTAGATCAAAACGTATCGCCTTGGGATATGATCAAAATAGTTCCACCGTGGGACCGGTAATTGCGTCAAATCAAAAGCAATTAAATGAAGCGGATTGGCTATACAAATTTTCGTCACGCAATTCGCCAGCAGAGGGCGTCGCATCATGCGAGAACTGATTAGCCAATAAGAAACGAACACGAGGAATGTTCCGCCGCCAACTAAATTGGATGAAAATTTAGTTGGGGCTTTTATTAATTTGAAATCAAGTTGTACAAATTCAAACCACATTGAAAAAACCATGGATAGAAGTTTTCAGAGACTACAGTAACTTTTAAAACGACACCCTAACTTACACAGTAGCAGCGACGAAATTGAAGAAATACCCATATCAACAACATCTAAGTTAGAAGCACTAACAAAAGAATCTAGATAAATTAAAACTAACACAGTCCTTGCATTACCTTCGGCGTATGCCGGTGAAACAATTCCATCGGTTGATCCTAATAACTTAGTAATGTCCATTGTACCGCGGGGATATAAATGGTTAGTAAACTTACTTCGTTACCAGAACTTCTTAACTTACAATTTATCGAATCTAATTATCAAACTGATCAACAACTTGCCGCGATACGAGAGATGATCAAAGAAAAGGACCCAAACATCTATGCCAAGACTTATGCTATGAATCGTTATTAAGCTCAGTTCATAAACGACATGTATGTACGTGAAAATGTTGTGTGGATGGACGACAAACTTGTGATTCCAAACTCTCTGACTACCGCTATCAACAATCGCATAAACTACTATCGCCATGGGAAATCGAACATGTTCCAGGCCGCCACGGACATTTGGTACCCCTACATCTACAGTTTCATAGCATCTATGGCCGAAAATTGTACGGAGTGTACAGAGTCGCGTAAGGACCTCAAAACTTAACATCAAAACAGTATATGGGGAAAATTGTAGAACCTTAGTCCCATTAATTATCTGAAAGAGTCGAGAAAAAATTTCATTGTAGCAGTGAACCTGTCCTTTTGTTAGCCATCGGCTATGGTGTGTGCAAATAATAAATCTGATAAAATATTGAAATTTTTGAAAACTTATATCGTGACCCACGATGTGCCCCGGAGGATTCAAATAGATCAGGCAACAAATTTCATGTCTAATCAAATTAAACGGTTTTGTAACACGAAAGGAATCGAAATCATAAAATCACCACTAAATGACCATCGCTCTACGGGATGTGTGGAGAGAACGATAGGAAGCTTGAAAAATTCGATTCTCACGTACGCGAAGGAGTAAAATCCTGAGGCATTGGGAAATATGTTGGAGCGAGCAATTGGGGCTCTTCGGTTTTCAGTTAACGCCACGACTAAATTGCAAATTATTTGCAGCTCATCATGGGCGGGAATCTAATACTGTCTTAAGAAGTCTCACGAAAAAACCTTCGCTTCAGCATTTGAATTGGCGAAGAGCACTAAGAGAGAAATCGTCATGTTTAGATAATAACGATCCCACGGTGCAGGACCTACCACACCCGGCAGACAATAATTGGGGTGTTCGTTCGGACTTGTTCTGCGACATCAAGAACAGAAACCACCCTAGGAAGCTCACTGAGGAGAAGCAGTTGCACCAACAGGAAGAACCTCTGGTTCGCAAATCGGACACGGTGAACCCGAAACCAGGCCTGTCAGGCCAGTTGTACCAGCGCACGGGAGATCGGAATCTCCAATGGTATAGGAAATTAACCTCTACGGTGAAATCAACAAGCAATCACACAATAACTCTAAGCAAGGGCGTTGTTCTTAGGAAATTAGCAGTGGCTTTGTCCAAGAAAACAGCCAAGAAGGTCCCTGTCATTCTTCCTCAGCCGCCTACACCTAAAGTTGTTAAACAGAAGGAGCTAAAGAAAAGGAAAGCGAAAGTCAATAGCAAGATTACAAAACCGAGAAATCCTGAGTCAGTCTGCCACGAGCCGCCGATTCCAACCGATAAGCGGATTAGCGAGTCGGAATAAGAGAACGATAGTGAAAACGTACCACTGTCCATCAGTCGAAAGGGGGGCAGCAGGCATACGTATCTGCCAGAATCGGAGGGAGAACCACCTGAACCGGAGGAGCAATGGGCAGCAGTGGCATCGGCCACATTGCAGAGGGCAGAACCCGAAACTGTTCCGGGGGTTTCCCTGCCAGCAGTGCCAGCAACGCCAACGGATTTACAAACGCCAACGGATTTAGTGGAACCGGAGGAAAACGTAGTTGCGGAAAAGGAGGCAAATGAAGCGAAACGAGAGAAAAAAAAGGTGGACGATACTACGACAGAGAAGAAAAGTGAAAGAAAACAGCGACTAGTGTCGTATAACAGCCAGGACTCTAAGGATAGCGGAGAAACAACGACGTCTCGGAGAAGCGGGCCAAAAAGAATGGCGATCACAAAGATGGGGGCGATGATAGATCAGATAACAAAACCAACCGACCAAGGAAAGAAATAGTAAGAAGTACCGAGAAAACCGAAAAACTTAAAACTTGTTCAAAATTTTCATGAAGTCCAGGGAGAGGGCTGGTTGCACTGTTCAAAGGTCTTCCGAAAACTCAATTTGTTCATCGCCATCGGCGGTGTTTATGTTGTTAAAACTCTAGATGCAGCAGTGTCAATTTTGTACTTTTTGAGTACTTTAAAATTATCATCAATCAATATACATATGTGCAGTTTTTAGTCATTCAGTTTTTACAATTTTTCAAATTTTTTTACAAGAGAGGAAATGTCATATAGTGCTATTTCAATCTGTTTCAATTCGTCATCATTTAGTAAATTAGTTCACATGTCAATCATTTTTCACTCTATCGGTGCTTATTAAATACCTGCAGGTACCAGCCAACGGTGTGTCTGTCACCTTCGGTATCACCTCAATTCCTCATTCTTTGACTATATTTTGCAATATTAAGTTAGGTAACATATTCAATTGGATTGGCAATTTACTATTGCGAAAAAGATTTTCGACCCTCTCAAGAAACATAATTCCTCTGTTTAAATACCTCAAACTCTGATTGCTTAGCGCCATTAAAAAACTACTTGGCTATGTGTAGTTCATCTCTTCTTTCACACAGGAAAAAGATTATCATCGATTAAATATTCCGCTTAAAATAAATGCTCATTTCTTTTGACCCAGAGGCAAAGCTAAATTTTGCAAACACAAGCACGAAAACTGCAAAAGGTAGCTCCAACGGCAACATAAAAAAAATAATTTATTAAAATGCCCAAAAAAAGGTTTCAACAGAAAAACCTTACAATCTGACGGCACTGAATCGCCGATCTGAGTTCGAGCCTTACGTGCTACCATCTCCACTATGTGCTCTCACATTAATCATTAACTGGCCACCAAAAACTGTTAGACACATGCTACTAAATTACCAATGTGTGTATAATGGGAAGAGTGTATTTTCCATGGACAAAATGTTGTTTAAAGTGTTTTGTTCGGAAAATTTCTGGTTAGAATTTGAATATAATGCATGTCAGGATGCCAAACAAATCTACTGTTTTTAAAAAAAAATTCTGGTAGAACGTCAAGAATACAAAAGAAAAAAGGTAAACAAAGTTGCTTGTTTGCCTCCTCTACGCCACTGACGTGGATTTGGTATTGAAGTGCTGAAAATGGGAAGAAAAATTTTGATAAAAAAAGCTAAGCTTAACAGCGAGTTTTTAGACACAATTTTACAAGACTGCTCTTTTAAATAAAAATCTGTACCGTTTTATTTTTGCTTTATCATGGTGGTATTGGTTAAAATGAAACCGTTTTGACTGAAAATGAAAAAAACAAACTCTACCCGTGATTGGATTTGTATTCGATCTTGTTTGATAAGCTATTCGTTACAGAAAATAGTGCCCCATATCTACACAGCTACCGGATTTTATTAACTAGTCCTCCTTATGGCACCTAGCAAAAACTGCCAATCCTATAATTAACTAATTCAAATTTCGAAAATTTATCTTGTAATGCAGCCCCCTTTTCCTATGGGGAGACAAGGGGAGAAGGTGCCACAAGGGGAGAAGTTCCTGTTAAGTAGTTCATTCTGCCCAACTGAAAGAGCGAAATAGCAGTTTTTTCTCTTGTCGAAAAACTTAAACTAACCCAGTGCCTTTGAAGACAAAAATTAACAAGTCAAAAATAAAAATAAAAAATTTTGAGAATTTTTGACATTTTATTAGGAATAATTCAAAAAAAGCATTGTGCCATTACTTTGAATTGAATCTAGGCCTTAAAAACTAATGAGAGACTATGAAATAAAATAACGCTGCAAAAACTTCAACTTAGAAACGTAAAAATTTATACACGATGAGAAAGCAACAATCTGATTCTCGAGAAAAAAAGTGGAAGAAAACAACAAAATGTGACATTTCGAAACAAAATCTCAAAATTTTGAGCAGAACTTATCAAAGAGCTTTTTTGTTACTTTTGATATCATATAAAACTTACTAATTTGTATTTCAACGCCTCAATTTCATCGTTTTTAAAAGCTGGGAAGCACTTAAATCAATGCAAAATATCTCTTGAAAAAAACCATTATCATGTCTAAAATGCCGTTTCTCTTGGGATCAAGTTATGTGCGTGCGGTGATAAAACTTGAAAGAAAAAGATTACGTGACACAAAACGAAATTTGGGACGGTGTTTAACAATTAGAAGTTTAGAATTGAGTGATTTAAATAATAAAAGCTTAACAGCAAGTTTTTAGACACAATTTTACAAGACTGCTCTTTTAAATAAAAATCTGTATCTTCCATTTTTTATTTTTGCTTTATCATGGTGGTATTGGTTTAAACGAAACCGTTTTGACTGAAAATGAAAAAAAAAAATTCTACCTGTGATTGGATTTGCATTCAATTTTGTTTGATAAGCTATTCGTTACCAAAGATAGTGCCCCATATCTACACAGCTACCGGATTTTATTAACTAGTCATCCTTATGGCACCTAGCAAAAACTGCCAATCCTATAATTAACTAATTCAAAATAGGAAAATTTATCTTGTAATGCAGCCCCCTTTTCCTATGGGGAGACAAGGGGAGAAGGTGCCACAAGGGGAGAAGGTTCTGTTATGTAGTTCATTTTGCCCAACTGAAAGAGCGAAATAGCAGTTTTTTCTCTTGTCGAAAAATTTAAACTAAACCAGTGCCTTTGAAGACAAAAATTAACAAGTCAAAAATAAAAATAAAAAATTTTGAGTTTTTGACCTATATCTAGGCCTATAAAAACAAAAGAAAGACTATGAAATAAAATAACGCTGCAAAAACTTCAACTTAAAAACGTAAAATTTATACACGATGAGAAAGCAACAATCTGATTCTCGGGAAAAACAGTGGAAAAAAACAAAAGTTGACATTTCGAAACAAAATCTCAAAACTTTGAGCAGAACTTATCAAAGAGCTTTTTTGTTACTTTTGATATCATATAAAACTTACAAATTTGTATTTCAACGCCTCAATTTCATCGTTTTCAAAAACTGGGAAGCACTTAAATCAATGCAAAATCTCTTGAAAAAAATCATTATCATGTCTAAAATGCTGTTTCTCTAGGGATCAAGTTATGTGCGTGCGGTGATAAAGTTTGAAAGAAAAAGATTACGTGACACAAAACGAAATTTGGGAAGGTGTTTAACAATTAGAAGTTTAGAATTGAGTGATTTAAATAAAAAAAGTGTGCTTTTTCTTGGGAGGAACCAGAATAAAAAATAAAGCTTGCCCATGCAATTTAGAGCAATTATTTAGTGAATAAAAAGAGCAGTTTTTGTTTCACCATTTATTTCGATAAGCAAGGGTAATGCAACTAGGAACTAGTTTTTTTTCACAAATTAACTTTGTTCACAGAATAGTTAAAATAAGAAATGGTAATTTTAGTCATGCACTATGTATATATAGCTCGTGCATGCTGGCTATGTAGGTAGTGTATGCAAGATCTTGTAATGCGATTTTTTCGGCGTTACCAAAAGTTTTTGGTTGATTTTCTGCTTAATGGGTGTCAGTTTTAGTTCTGTCGGCTTAGTTGCCAATTTGTTTGCTTCTAATTTTTGGCTATATCATATGATTTTGCTCTGGCAAATTAATTTCAAAAATTAAAATCAAACTCTCCAACCTTCATTGAAAAAACAAAAAAAGAAAAATTAGAACTTTTTATCTCGAGTGTTGGAGAATTTGATTCGAGCTTTTCAAACTAACTTGCCAGAGCTACAGCATATGATATGGCCAGAACTGAGAAAAAAATCGGCAAGTAAGCAGACAGAACTAAAGCTGATACCCAATAAGCAGAAAATGAACGCAAAAAATCGCATTACAAGATCTTGCATACACTACCTACATAGCAGGCATGCACGAGCTATATATACATGCATGAGTAAAATTACCATTTCTTATTTTAACCATTCTGTGAACCAAAATATTTTGTGAAAAAAGCTAGTACCTAATTGCATTACCCTTGCTTATCGAACTGAAACAAAAACACTGCTAGCATTCACTAAATACTTGATTAAATCAAAATATTAATTCTAAATTCTTAGTTTTTATGACTTTAGAAACTTCGTTTTGTGTAACGCCATCTTTTTTTCTTTAGTTTTACCACCGAAGTAACTTGATCCCAAGAGCTAGGCACTTTTGGATATGAAAAACGATAATGAAGCGTCAAATTATCTGCTCAGAAAAGAGCATTTGGGTCGAAGTTTTTTCCATAACAATTTGCAATTCTGAGGTCATATAGTTGATCATGCAAACAACGGCTTTTTACGCATGGTTTAATTTCAGTTGGTCTGCATGTAAAACTATTTTCAAGCTTTTGCAGATATTTGGCCAACTTATCGCTTGTTTAGCTGAGTTCTTTGCAAGCACGAATACAACACCATGCTGTACGCACATTTTATACTACTTTGGCTTGTTTGCACGGTATTTCTTTCCAACACACTATCTATTCTGACCAGTTGCGATTTAACATATATGGTATGGTAGCTGAAATAGACTGCTAAATTTGACAGGCTTGACTGCAGATTAACCAATGAGCAAAACTGAAGCTCATTGGGAAGGAAATTGAATTCGTATTTGAAATAGGCGTATTTTGGTTTTAAGTTCAAGACAAAATATTTATAAGGTTTCATAATTGGTATAATCATTTACTTTGCAGCGCAAATCACAGCCGCAACAATTTCTTCGCTATTTCTAAAATAATGGGAAATTAAATGAAACAAGACAGCTCGTATCAGGGCGAAGCACTGAATGTTCCGACTGCCATCTTATTGGTCTCGAATAGTTTTTGGTAAAAGGAATATCGACCAACTATGAACTGTAGCTTTTTATCGGTTCAACTTATTATTACTAATCGAATGTCAAAGCTCACGCTATCAAAAACTGTAAGGGTGCCCCAAAATTGGCACCAATATGTGCGAAATAAGTTGAAAAACAAAACTCGTACTATTGCACTACGCCCGCTAAATCCCGTTGTGTTAACATTAATGAAACTGCGAGAAATTTTCAGCATGAATATGGATAAACAAATTCTACATGAAGCAAAACAATCTCTGGACAACCCAGTGCATAAAATAAAACATTTATTTGACTCATTGTCACTTCTTCAACAAACGGCGGAAGTTTAAGAATATATTCTTCCAGCACTGCTTAGACCTCTTTCTCTTCGTTTTTCTCAAAAATCTCCCCGCAATCCAAACCAAGATTAAAAGGGCTTTAACATCCTTGAACAGCGTCGCTGGAGGCATCAGAAAACCCGTTGAAAAAATCAGCCTAGGCCACAGTTCCTTCACACTTCGCGAATGGGTCGGAATCAAAACTATGTCCAGAAAAAGCACATAGCCAATGTCTCAAGTTTCAAAGGACTTATCTAAACTTAAGCAAAAAAAAAGATAAAATCATTCTTTGTTTGCCAAATTTCACAGTAGTTATTTTTGTAGTTATTTCACAGTGACAAAATATAACTAACATGAATAATATTTACAGCTTACGTATTATCATTATGGAAACTACTTTCAAACAAAGCAGACTTAATCGCTAAAGCAGTTTCAGTTTCTATTCAACTCAGCTTAACTGAAGTTGAAGTGAACAAACGAAACAAACTAAAGTTCAAAAATTGACCACCAAATAGCAATTCAGGATCAATATTGCGCCATTATGTACTAATTATATTTAATGCCAAATTGTCGACAAAATCGGTGACTGCTTGAGAAGCTTAATTGGAAAAAGATGGTATTTTCGGAAAATTAGATTTTCTAAAATGGTTTCTGCGTGCTGAAATGATTTAAAAAAGGTTTCACGAAGAGCAGTTTTTGTTCAGATTGGTTGACCGGAAAGGATTTTGGCAACAATTTGGCACTAATTATAAAACTGAACAGGGCATACTGCTTGAGAATCAATTCATATCTGAAATCATTTGTAAATGAAAAAACTCATGAGCAAATTAAGTTCAATCAAAAAAGTCATTTTCAACCTTAGATCAATTGCACATCAATTTTGGATAAGCTACTTTCCGATCCTCTTCTCGTTCGTAAGACTCGTTTTTTACAATTATTATCAGTCGATCAATTGCACAGTTTTCAGAGCATCTTCGTCCAGTATTTCGAGGGATATCCAGGCACCCGTGTCGAATCCGTAGGCCCAGTTGCCGTCTAGAATCACGCAGCCATCCCACAGTCTAGAATGGACGTTGAGGGTGTCTGCCACTCCTTGTTCTCGGAATGGATGCGAGAGGGAACCCAGGGGTCTGCGGAACACCTGAATTGTGATCAGTGGAAGCATTGGTTAAAAAATCAATAACAGCACACCAATCAATTGAAAACAAAATGTCATCTTTCTCTGTGAGTACCGCTCAAAATCCCAAATGTCATGAAAATGGAAAATTTCCCACCAATGGCCTTAACTCCTTGAAGTAGTTGCAATTAAAAAACTTTCGAAAAAAGTAGTAACACAAGCGAATCTTCGCACCATTTCCAATATTTCACAAACAACGCATGTGAGGTTGGCAGAATAAAAAAATATGGCCAACTAAAAGTTGGAAAAGTAATGAACGCAAGGAAACTGAAAAAAAACTGACTTGTTTTTTCAAGAGCCTTCAACTTTTGAATTTCGAAGAAAAAAATAGATGCCCTAAAGCCCTTTGAATTTGTAGAACAATTTATGATAGACACTTTTTAGCTAAAATTAACCCAATTTGAGAAAACTGGATCAATACGCAAAACTTTTATTTCGCTGGGAAATCTGATAATTAATTTCCATTTTCGAAATCAGAAATGGATCACGTTTTTCGTGACTTTAACACTTTTGCTGTTCGATAGTCGAGTTTGCCTTCCTTTTAACAACGGAAATGCACTAAACTTAAAAGAAACCACAAGTCAAACCACGAAAAATCAAAACTGAGCGTGAACAAGTTTTAAGACATTTTCCTGAAAAAAAACAAAAAAAAAATCAGCAAGACCTGTATAAGAGTACTCATTACGTTCATTACTCTTAATACGACAAAAACAACTTCGTCGAAAAAATAGTTCGGAAAAATATCGAAAACTAGGACTATCAAAAATTTCATACGTTTGTTTATAATGAATTTCATTTTGAAGAAAACATGCCGAGAAAGACAACTTTACGCAGTAATTAAGCATTGAAACAAAATTTATGAATCGATAACTAAGCCGACAAAACTGGGGTAAAAGACCGTTGAGCCGAAGCAATCAGTCATAAAAAATTGAGCTACAAAAAATTTCGATACTAAAGATTCGCAGATCTCTAGCATATACACGAATAAAAAAACCCAGCCAACAGTTTAGTGGTATTTTCCCGCTGGTAAATCTTGCATATACACAAACAAAAATTCCAGCCAACAGTTTAGTGGTAACTTTTTCCCCTGGGAAATTATAAATTGAAATCCACTTTAAAAACTAGAAGTCGTTCGAATTCGCCTTCTTTGTTAAAAATGAAATGACCAAAGTTGAAAAAAAATCGAAATACCTATACAAGTGTAATCACTGCCTTTATTGATACTTCATTATTTTCGCATAAATGCACAATTTGAGGCGCCTAAACCGATGAGAGACTGGCGGAAACAGGAAATTAGATGACCGCCTGAGACTGCGTGAAAAAAAAAAAAGAAATTAAAAGCAATAAGTTGAACCAACATTTAAAACAAATTGGATCTAACCTACAATCTCCACCCCTTACAAGAAAGGGGGAATTGTTAAGTAGATCAAAATGGTCGATTTTTCGATCAATCAGAATGCAGCAAAATTATAATTTTCAATTAGAAAGCTCAGTGCTAATTTACTGTATTTATTTAGGCGTGAAGATTCTGAAGTAGTACCATAGGGGGGGGGGGGGGGGGGGGGGGGAGATTGTTAAGTAGATCTAACAAATTTCTAAAATAATGAAAAAAAGCATACATGCTTAAAAATTGTTTTCGAATTTAACCTTACAAAACTGACTAATTCTTTCACAATTGTAATAAAAATTGTTATATGGAAAAGTCTAGTTCGTGACTGCAAATCGCAAACAAGAACATGTCAATTCATTTGTTCAGTGACATTTTGGGGGTGTAGCGACTTGCTGGTGTGCCTCTTAGCATGCGCAATTAAGTAAGTACTCACTTTGATGCGGCATGCATCAGTTTGAGTTGCAAATATGAGAAAAAAAACTCAATTCTAATTGCACTAATAGCCGCATGCTAAGCGACACACATGCAAGTAGGCCGGTCCCCGACATAACATCTAACGCACAACACATAGGCAAAACTGCAACTACGCAAACACGAGCGCGAAAGCAGCAAAGATTCAGGAGCTTAAGAATGCACGAAAAGCAAAGTTTGCATGAAAAAATTTGGGAATGTAAAGAACTAAAGGCAACGAACGACACTAACTTTGCATGTAATAAATTAGAATGTATAAAACCAAATTGCGTATAAATTATGAATTACAAATCCCTCGCGCAGTTTACTGAAACGGTATTTTTATTATAAATCTGTTGAATGAAATATAAAGCTTTTTTCATTTCAATTCATCAATTTAAAAATGTTGCGTTTGGAAAAAAGTTGCATCTTTCTATCACACTACGCTACGCCCGTGTAGTAATCAGAAATCTTCTCAACTACTGTTACTAAATAGTTCTCCTGCGATCAATTTTTCCAGGAAAATTCACAATCATTTGTCTGGAAGCAATTAATTAATTAACCTGTTCGCCAGTTTTCCACCCAGATAGAAAAAAACATTAGTTCTCACGACAACTTTCTTTCTGCCCTTTCGGAAGCATTTCATTTTATGTCACTTGAGAAGTCACCTTTCGCTATGTAAGACCAAAATTATGATTAATGAGCACGTTTTGTGTTTGCAAAACAAATCGCTCAATTTTCAGCCAGCCGCATAAATTATCCGAATCTATTACCACCAAAACCCGGATAAAAATTACTTTTAGTATACTACCAATAATATCACACTAAGGTTCGTTTTAATGTCCAATCATAAATCGCGAGTGAAACTCACTCAAGGTAATAAATTAACACCATAAAAACTGTTCAAAGTGACCGAAATCTACTAAAAAACCAGCGGAAAACGTCTCTCAATATGTGTTGTCATAAATGCTACCTGATTGTGAAGCGGGTCTTTAACGGAGAACATCATTTTGCTACTGCAGGGATCCATGTGAACAAACTCCCTCAAATAAGCCTCGCTGATTTCCGTCAGCTGTGCTTCATCCAACGAAGTGAGCAGCTGTTCTGATTGTGGAATATTTTTCAGGTAGCGAGAGGAAATTTTGAGTACTTTGGACACCTGTTCTGTGCTCAGGTTTCTGTGAGAGGAGAACCAAGCCTGAGATCCAGTTCCAGTGCACACAATAAGACCTTTAATCCGAATAGAAATAGTCTTCATACATCGAAATTATACCATAACTAGAAAAAATCATATTTTTTAATGGAATCATTACTAGTATGGAACGACATGCAAGAACTCCATAAATTAAAAAATGCTTTAAAATACAATAAAATTAAATTAAAACTTAAAAACTTTTGCACAACCTGAACCTTGAAAAAACAGTGCGGAAACCTATGAAAATATTTCTTGGAACAAATTTCAGTTTATATGACGATAATTGTCTGCATAATTGATTGCTGTGTCTTAAAAATTATATTAGTTTCATATCGTTAATACTTCATTTTAATTCCCCAATTTTTTTATGGACAAAATGTTTTTTTAATGAAAAAAAAATTGCCACGAAACCTTTTTTTAAACTAAATTATAGTAAAGGGCCTCCAGATGGGTTATGAAAGGACTTAACTTTTTTTAGAAAAGCTTTCTAAAAAACTAAGAATATAAATTCTGATTATAGTGTACCTCGAAAAACTAATCTTTCGACTGCAACACGGATAACTTAGCCACCAAATTCTCTGTCGCTACCAAACTGCGAACTTGAACTTTACCTGATGACTTGTGTTTGTTGATTGGTTCCTGGTTGACTTGCATCTCGAAGTAGGAAGTACCCGAAGCCACGTACTCCCCAATGTAGACTTCATTGAGTGCCCTGATTGGCAGGGTAGTCCTATTCGATCTCTTGTGATCTTAAGCCACAAACAAGAATAGACATAATTTTGATTCCTTCAATTTATTCACACTGATTTTGAAATTTATCAGCAAATTTAGAAAAAACCCTAGATTGGTAAAATTCAAAAACCCTAGATTGGTAAAAACCATATTTCGAAAGGATCCAATTTGGTGTTATTTGACTGCATCTGTTCTTGGTCGAATAACCTTTAAGAATTAAAAAAAAACATCAACGCCCACCCTTGACTTTTAAACTGGCGCAAAAAATCAACTTTCGATCGCAACTCTTTGAAAAGGTTATTTTATTTGAAAATTGAAGGCTTCATGCCTTTGATAGAAGATTAGCTCCTTGTTCGATTAAGGGAGGGTTCACAAAAAATTATAGCTGATGTGTGAATAATTTTCATCTATTCCTGTAGTGGCATGTTGTGATGATGGGTGGGTGTGGTTTTGGGCAACAGAATAGGCAGATGAGATGATGAGGCTGCTGTTTCTGAGGTCACTGAGGTGGTCGTAGAATTTCATCTGCTCATCAGAGAGCGAGATGGCAGAAGGCATGCTCCCGTTGCTGTCTATCGTCAGCCTGAAACAGATATAGAACACCTAATTACAGAAAAAAACTTATGTGTAGCACCCATACATTAGGGTCAGCATCGAGAGGGCGAATGCCTGTGGCTGATCCTAAGCAGAGTTGCTAGTTTCATTGAACCTATTTTTACTGTAGCTTAAATTGCTTGTGATTCTGATGGAATTCAATTTATTTACATGGTTTCTATACAACCATCATCTTCATCATCACCATGTCTGTTTAACGCAATCCTCGCGCATTCGATTATCGTACTTTATATCTGTTTCCTCCGGCTGTGTTTATTTATCCTGATTGTCAATCCCTATTAAAAAATTGAAATTAGGGGCCCAGCTAAAGCTGGAGGTATCTGTTTGATAATTTTTTTGACTTTTCTATACTGATGCAGGATGAAATCGATAATTTCGAAAAATGGGCTCTACCAAAACCTGTTGTTTCGGTAAAAAAATAAGAGTGAAATTTTTTTTAAATTAGAAATTTCCTAAAAACCTAACATTTCTGTACAAAAAATTAAGACGTAGTCGCTTATGCAATGAGGCTTCCCACAACCTGTTACCTCGATTAAACCCTTGATATCAGATTCAGCTTGGTAATTTTCGAGAAATCAAAAAGTTTCAAGAAACGCACAAGAAATCAACACGTTGATTTTTCTGGGGCCAAAACTTTGTTAGAAAATGTGAACGTCGCTGTTTATTCAGGGGATTTTGTTATTTATATTGAACGAAAAATCTCTGATTGGGAGGTAGTTTTCGAGAAAATTTATGAAGTTTCAAAAACGGCAAAAAAAATTACAAATATGACTTTTCCGAGGACGATAACTTTTTCGGTTAAAATAATTGGGCGTAGCCACTAATTTAAGGAGCTTCCCAAAAACCGTTCTCTCCATTGAAATCAAAGCTTTAGAATTGCGATGGAAGTTTTCGAGAAGAATCAAAAAATTTCAAGAACGGTCAAAAAATCTAATATTTGACTTTTCCGAAGATCCTAAATTTATAAGTAATTTTTTTTGGGCAAAGCCATTTACGCAGAAAGCTTTGCATACCAAATTATTTATTGAAAATGAAATCTCAGATTTGGGAGGATAGTTTTCGAGAAAGGTCAAAGTTTTAACAAACGAAGAAAAAATTGGAAAAATGACATTTCCGAGGACGATATAACTTTTTATGCAAAAAGATGGGGAACCAGCCGCTACTGCAGGAAAGCTTCCCATAACTCGTTCTCTCGCATCAAAAAAAAATCACCCTTGGAAGGTTGGGTAGTTTTCAAGAAAAACAAAAAGTTTGCAAAACGGTCAAAAAATCAAAAAATCAAAAAATCAAAAAAAATTTGAACAAACGCTCAAAAAATCGACTTTACCGAGTGCCATAACTTTTCGTGTAAATCAACTTGGATGTAGCCACTATTCAGAAGAGATTCCCACAATTCTTTCTCTCTTTTGCGCTTTAAATCTTAGACTTTTATAAATCAAAATGGTTCAAAGTTCGATAGACCTGCACGGGTAGCAAATTGCGATTACCGGATCTGAAACTTAATCACCGTTCGATGATCAACTAAGACTTCACTGGATTACTTAATAATTATGACTTTGAAGCCAAGATTATTTGCACCAAGACAAATGGCGGTATGGAAATTTGCCTTATACTTATTTGAAATACATGAAAACTGTCCTATCCCATTTGCCCCAAAATTATCCCATCTAGTGGATTCTTTGCAGTTCAAATCGAGTACTATTTAAGACCAGCAAGTGCTTGGCAATCGTAGAATACGCTCATTTTGAAAAAAGACTAAAAAAGGATTGTGAGTCCAAACTGTCATCTAAATCATAACTTTGCCAAATGACGACAAAAAACTACAACGAACGGTACTGAAACAAATTAACTTTGTAACACAGAGGCGAAACGGAGCCCAAAACCTTAGTTTTTTCTCTACTAAAACACTTAAGAAGCGTGAAAATGCTTATAATGGAATTTTCTTAAGTACAAAACATTTCTCATACAAAAAACTAGGTAGTCGCTGATTCTGCAAGACAAATTCTCGCAAACTGTTCTTTCAATATTTTCAAAAAAAAACGGTGAAAAGTTCAAAAAGGGACTTTCCGAAACCCAAAAAAATGTTCTGCAAAAAGGCAATCGTGGCCGTAAAGTACAGATGATTCCAAAAAGCGAGGTTCTCAAATGAACAATTAACCTGAGAATTGATACGGTAGTTTTCAAGTAAAGTAAAAAAGTTTCCATAACACGGTCGTATTTAAAAAATTTGTGTTTTTTGAAAGTCATAAATTTTGTCGGTAAGAAAAGGGAAGTAGCCAGTTAAAGGTAAATTTTCAACAAGATAATCTATGATATCAGATTTGGCAGGATATGCGTCAAAAAAAACGTTCATTAAATAAAAAATTTGACAATTCTAAGACTCACCCAGTAAAAAACTGGGCACAACCGCTTATACAGAGGAGATGTAAGCACCTTTTAATTTCGATTGAGCCTAAAAATCACATTTGGTATGGTAGTTCTCCACAAAAGTCAAAAAGTTTCACAAAAGTGTCAAAAATATCAAAATTTTGTCTTTTCCGAGGGCAATAACTTTTTAGTAAAAAGTTCGGGCGTACTCGCGTACGCAAGGAAGTTTTCCACAAACCGTTCTTTAGAGTTCAAAAAACTTTTAAAAAAAAAGGTGAAAAAATCATAAAATTTGGCTTTTACGAGGATGATAACTTTTTGTGTTAAAAAAATTGTGACTCGTCGATAAAGCAGGGGAGCTTCTACCCACCCGTTACCTCTATTGAACCCACAATCTCTGATTTGCGAAATTAGATTTCGAGAAAAGTCAACAAGATTCAAAATACGGTACAAAACAATGGACTGTTCCGAGGGTCATAATTTTATATGTATCAAAACTTCTGGAGCAGCCGCCCACTCAAGAGAGCTTTCCAACACCCGGTCTAGTCATTGAAAGCAACATTTTGGATTTGAGAGGGTAGTTTTTGAGAAAACGAAAAAATCAAAAAATATGTGCCAAATACTCCCCCAATAGTTTTTCGCCGGCTGTAACTAGTGAGGTACGGTAAAGAAAAGACTAAGAATTTGCAGGCACACTGAGGATTGGGCGGTCTTTACATTCGTACCACTTTTTTAAAACACGTTAAAGTCATTTTTGAAAAAAAAAGCAAATTTTTTGAAAGTGAAAAATTTTTCCAAAGCGTCTCAAAAAATAATGAAGAAAATTAAAAAAACCCGAACCCATATATTTTCATTATGCCGGTTTTTATACAAAGAGGAAAAAATTAATAGTAGGAATGGCAAAAAAAAAAAATCTTTTTCAAAGCAAGATTTATGCCATGTACGAACAAATATAAGAAACGAAAAATGAAACCTGATTCTGTTCCTGAAGAGCCATTTGAATTTGCCCTGCATTAATTGTTTGAACCCATCTGCACAGCTGTCCGTGAATTTACTCGGCAGACACAGAATTCCCAAAGACTTGTTCTTGTCACTGTTCACCCCAATCAACGCCTACACACAGGGTCACAATCTTCGACAACAATGGACAATTTTTTATGTCTTGAGGAATGTAGATGAAAAATAAACAAGCATATTCGCATTAAGGCCATCAAATGATGCCCGAAAGAACACGTTAGTGCTTCTGTCCCTTGAAACCTTAAAATTGTCAGTTAAAACCTTAAAAGAAATTTTTCAACCAATGATAGAAGAATGATGTCAAGGTGGGTAGTAATGGTAGCAGATTTAGGTAGTGCCACGCTCCCTCAAACTTTCGACAACTTCTCCAACCAAAGGGTTCTTCTTTGGTTTTATTTTATGGTGTCCATAGTTCGTTGACCAGTCATCAAAATACACTAAAAATCAATGGTAAACACTTCGAACAAGACGTATTTTTTAGTAATAATTTAATGATTTTGATTCTGCAAATCACAGAGAAATTATCAAAGACTGCTAAGACTGTATACCGACAGTCAGTTCCCATTAATTCCCACATTCCAAATTGATTTATTTTTGCTGAGAGTAGATCTTTTTCGCGACTCAAGGTCATGTCGATACTTTTTCATGTAGAATTTTCTTATGGTAGCCTTTTTTGAAACCGAAATGTTGAGAGAGTGGTAGAATTGAGCGGGTAACGAAATATCGATGAGCGGAGATTAAATTTAATCGCCATTCGATGATAAACCAAAACGTCACTGAAGTACTTCATAAAAATGACTTTGATGCCAGGATTATTTGCCCCAGGACAAACTGCAATTTGCCCTATAATAATTTTCCCTACATGACAAACTGTCCTATCACCAGTTGCCCCAAAATTATCACTTCTAGTCGATTATTTGAAGTTCAAATCGATTTAAGACCAGGTAGTCCTCGTTTTGAAGCGACTGAATGAAAATGATTCAAACTGAGCCTAAACTGTTATCTGAACCAAAACTTTGCCACATGTTGACAATAATCTACAACGAGCGCTACTGAAACCGACTAATCTACAATAAGCGCTACTGAAACCGACGTTTTGAAGCGACTAAATGAAAATGATTCAAACTGAGCCTAAACTGTTATCTGAACCATAACTTTGCCACATGTTGAAAATAATCTACAACGAGCGCTACTGAAACCGACTAATCTACAACAAGCGCTACTGAAACCGACGTTTTGAAGCGACTAAATGAAAATGATTCAAACTGAGCCTAAACTGTTATCTGAAGCATAACTTTGCCACATGTTGAAAATAATCAACAACGAGCGCTACTGAAACCGACTAATCTACAACAAGCGCTACTGAAACCGACGTTTTGAAGCGACTAAATGAAAATGATTCAAACTGAGCCTAATCTCTTATCTGAACCAAAACTTTGCCACATGTTGACAATAATCTACAACGAGCGCTACTGAAACCGACTAATCTACAACAAGCGCTACTAAAACCGACGTTTTGAAGCGACTAAATGAAAATGATTCAAACTGAGCTTAAACTGTTATCTGAACCATTACTTTGCCACATGTTGAAAATAATCTACAACGAGCGCTACTGAAACCGACTAATCTACAACGAGCGCTACTGAAACGACGTTTTGAAGCGACTAAATGAAAATGATTCAAACTGAGCCTAAACTGTTATCTGAACCATAACTTTGCCACATGTTGAAAATAATCAACAACGAGCGCTACTGAAACCGACTAATCTACAACAAGCGCTACTGAAACCGACGTTTTGAAGCGACTAAATGAAAATGATTCAAACTGAGCCTAAACTGTTATCTGAACCATAACTTTGCCACATGTTGAAAATAATCTACAACGAGCGCTACTGAAACCGACTAATCTACAACAAGCGCTACTGAAACCGACGTTTTGAAGCGACTAAATGAAAATGATTCAAACTGAGCCTAAACTGTTATCTGAACCATAACTTTGCCACATGTTGAAAATAATCTACAACGAGCGCTACTGAAACCGACTAATCTACAACAAGCGCTACTGAAACCGACGTTTTGAAGCGACTAAATGAAAATGATTCAAACTGAGCTTAAACTGTTATCTGAACCATAACTTTGCCACATGTTGAAAATAATCTACAACGAGCGCTACTGAAACCGACTAATCTACAACGAGCGCTACTGAAACCGACGTTTTGAAGCGACTAAATGAAAATGATTCAAACTGAGCCTAAACTGTTATCTGAACCATAACTTTGCCTCATGTTGAAAATAATCTACAACGAGCGCTACTGAAACCGACTAATCTACAACAAGCGCTACTGAAACCGACGTTTTGAAGCGACTAAATGAAAATGATTCAAACTGAGCTTAAACTGTTATCTGAACCATAATTTTGCCACATGTTGAATATAATCTACAACGAGCGCTACTGAAACCGACTAATCTACAACGAGCGCTACTGAAACCGACGTTTTGAAGCGACTAAATGAAAATGATTCAAACTGAGCCTAAACTGTTATCTGAACCATAACTTTGCCACATGTTGAAAATAATCTACAACGAGCGCTACTGAAACCCACTAATCTACAACAAGCGCTACTGAAACCGACGTTTTGAAGCGACTAAATGAAAATGATTCAAACTGAGCCTAAACTGTTATCTGAACCATAACTTTGCCACATGTTGAAAATAATCTACAACGAGCGCTACTGAAACCGACTCATCTACAACAAGCGCTACTGAAACCGACATTTTGAAGCGACTAAATGAAAATGATTCAAACTGAGCTTAAACTGTTATCTGAACCAAAACTTTGCCACATGTTGACAATAATCTTCAACGAGCGCTACTGAAACCGACTAATCTACAACAAGCGCTACTGAAACCGACGTTTTGAAGCGACTAAATGAAAATGATTCAAACTGAGCCTAAACTGTTATCTGAACCATAACTTTGCCACATGTTGAAAATAATCTACAACGAGCGCTACTGAAACCGACTAATCTACAACAAGCGCTACTGAAACCGACGTTTTGAAGCGACTAAATGAAAAGGATTCAAACTGAGCCTAAACTGTTATCTGAACCATAACTTTGCCACATGTTGAAAATAATCTACAACGAGCGCTACTGAAACCGACTAATCTACAACAAGCGCTACTGAAACCGACGTTTTGAAGCGACTAAATGAAAATGATTCAAACTGAGCCTAAACTGTTATCTGAACCATAACTTTGCCACATGTTGAAAATAATCTAAAACGAGCGCTACTGAAACCGACTAATCTACAACGAGCGCTACTGAAACCGACGTTTTGAAGCAACTAAATGAAAATGATTCAAACTGAGCCTAAACTGTTATCTGAACCATAACTTTGCCACATGTTGAAAATAATCTACAACGAGTGCTACTGAAACCGACTAATCTACAACAAGCGCTACTGAAACCGACGTTTTGAAGCGACTAAATGAAAATGATTCAAACTGAGCCTAAACTGTTATCTGAACCATAACTTTGCCACATGTTGAAAATAATCTACAACGAGCGCTACTGAAACCGACGTTTTGAAGCAACTAAATGAAAATGATTCAAACTGAGCCTAAACTGTTATCTGAACCATAACTTTGCCACATGTTGAAAATAATCTACAACGAGTGCTACTGAAACCGACTAATCTACAACAAGCGCTACTGAAACCGACGTTTTGAAGCGACTAAATGAAAATGATTCAAACTGAGCCTAAACTGTTATCTGAACCATAACTTTGCCACATGTTGAAAATAATCTACAACGAGCGCTACTGAAACCGACGTTTTGAAGCAACTAAATGAAAATGATTCAAACTGAGCCTAAACTGTTATCTGAACCATAACTTTGCCACATGTTGAAAATAATCTTCAACGAGCGCTACTGAAACCGACTAATCTACAACAAGCGCTACTGAAACCGACGTTTTAAAGCGACTAAATGAAAATGATTCAAACTGAGCCTAAACTGTTATCTGAACCATAACTTTGCCACATGTTGAAAATAATCTACAACGAGCGCTACTGAAACCGACTAATCTACAACAAGCGCTACTGAAACCGACGTTTTGAAGCGACTAAATGAAAAGGATTCAAACTGAGCCTAAACTGTTATCTGAACCATAACTTTGCCACATGTTGAAAATAATCTACAACGAGCGCTACTGAAACCGACTAATCTACAACAAGCGCTACTGAAACCGACGTTTTGAAGCGACTAAATGAAAATGATTCAAACTGAGCCTAAACTGTTATCTGAACCATAACTTTGCCACATGTTGAAAATAATCTACAACGAGCGCTACTGAAACCGACTAATCTACAACGAGCGCTACTGAAACCGACGTTTTGAAGCAACTAAATGAAAATGATTCAAACTGAGCCTAAACTGTTATCTGAACCATAACTTTGCCACATGTTGAAAATAATCTACAACGAGTGCTACTGAAACCGACTAGTCTACAACAAGCGCTACTGAAACCGACGTTTTGAAGCGACTAAATGAAAATGATTCAAACTGAGCCTAAACTGTTATCTGAACCAAAACTTTGCCACATGTTGACAATAATCTACAACGAGCGCTACTGAAACCGACTAATCTACAACAAGCGCTACTGAAACCGACGTTTTGAAGCGACTAAATGAAAATGATTCAAACTGAGCCTAAACTGTTATCTGAACCAAAACTTTGCCACATGTTGACAATAATCTACAACGAGCGCTACTGAAACCAGGGGCGGTTTTAGGGGGGACGTACCCCCCCCCCTCTTAGGGATTCGACCCCCTACTGACCCAATGGGTCCCACTTGGTATTAATTTTAGATATCCGTTTTTGACCGACGGACCAGGAGCCAATAAATACTAATTTTGAGGGGGGAGCGAGCGCATGAAAAACGCGTCAAAACGGTCTAAAGAGTGCTTAAAAATGCGTTTCTTGGCCTGTTATTTCAAAATTTTGGCTGCGGCGCAGAAATTTTGGTAACAGGGACTTTTTATTGCTTTGGGAGACTTAAAAAAAAGGTCGACAGATTATTGGAAAATTTTTGAAAATCCGCACCATCTCGAGAAAATCCTAGATCCGCCCCAGACTGAAACAAAACTTTTCAACACAGAGGCGAAACAAAGCCCATTACCTTCGTGAAAATTTTTGAAATATTGGAATTTTCCCAAGGACATAACATTTCTCTTACAAAAAACTAGAGAGTCGCCGCTTCTGCAGGACAAATTCTCGAAAAAGCTTCTTCAAATTGAGCCTTCCATCTCCGATTTGAAAGGGTAGTTTTTAGAAAAAATTAAAAACTTTCATACAAAAAACGATCATAAGTTCAGAAATGTAACTTTCCGAAATCCAAGACATTTTTTTGCAAAAAGCAGGTTGTGACCGTAAACTAGAGAAGATTCCGAAAACCAAATGAACACTCAACCTGAGAATTGTTACGATAGTTTTTGAGCGAAGTCAAAAAGTTTCAAAAACAATCGAATTTTCGAAACTTCGACTTTTTTGAAAGCCATAACTTTTGCCTATCAGAAATTGGGTGAAGACAATTTTAAAGGTAGAATTTCAACAACCTATTGTTTGATTTAAGCCATGATACTAAAATTGGCAGGATAGGTGTCGATAAAATTCCAAAAAACAGTCAACAAATCAAACACTTGACAATTCTGAGACTCATAGCTTTTCGTGTAAAAAAATTGGGCGTCGCCGCTTATACAGAAGAGATTCACCCAATTTTTCATTTTGACTGAGCCCGAAAACTCAGATTTGGGAGAGTAGTTCTCCCCAAAATTCAAAAAAAAATGGGCGTACTCGCCTAAGGGAGCTTCCCATATCCCGTTCTTTGGATTGAAACCAAAATCTCAGACATGGGAGGGTAATTTTTGAGAAAATTTAGAAAAAACGGTTCCAAAATCATAAAATTCGACATTTCCGAGGGCGCTAACTTTTGCTGGTAGCTACTATTGCAGAAAGCAGGGGAACTTGTCACTACCCGTTATTTCCACTGAACCCACAATATCTGATTTGCGAGATAAGATTTCGAGAAAAGTCGAAAAGATTCAAAAAATGGTCAAAAAGTAAAAAAAAATTGACAATTCCGAGGGCCAAAATTTTGGGTATCAAAACGTTTGGCACAAGGGAACTGTCCAACACCCATTCTAAAAATTGAAACCAAAATCTCAGATTTGGGCTGCTAGTTTTTGAGAAAACGAGAAAATCAAAAATATGTGTCAAATATTCACCCAAAGACTTTTTTGAAGACTGTAAACAGAGGAGTAAGTAAAAATAGACTAAAAGGGTATGCAAACCCACAAGAGAGCAGCTTTTCCCCCATAGATACCCCTTTTTCGAAGATGGGCACCTTAGTTTTTGATAAAAATGCACAGAGTGAAAAAACTTTCAAAAGCGTCTCACAAAATATTAATTAAATCAAAAACCCAACCCCATGGATTTCCAAAAACACCTATTTTTATCACATAGAAATCTAGACAAACAAAACACTTGAATTTTTTATTAGCAACGAAACAAAACTAACGAAGAGGAAACAAAGCCGAAGTCCCCCAGGAAACTGCAATAAACATGATACCATGATAATTGCTGACAAATTATTTGGCACGTGAAGTGGCAACTGAGCCGACAAAACTTGAGCAGATAAATAAAAGTCAGACAGTTCGATTTTCACTGGAACTTTTTTTTGAATTGCAAATATACTAAAAACAAAAAGGTCCAACAGGGATTCGAACCTCGGACCTTAGGATGCAAAGGCGACGGCGTTACATCTAGGCCAAGTGGGAAGGGACCTGAAAATTGTTAAGATTCAATAACTAAGCAATTTGAAATTTGGTAAGAAAAGCTGTTTACGGGTAAAAAGTCTAGTTCCCGATTACAAGACAATTTCTTTCGCAAGTGTGAAGATATAAATTGAGTCATTCTTCAAATTATTTCTGTGCTAACAAAAAAACCATGGAAACCATGAGTCGATTACGAGTGAAAAATTACGAGTGAAAAAAAAACAAGCGATTTCAATTGTTAAACTATTTTCAGGCAAAAATTTTTTAAAGAGAATTTAACAAAAATTCACGGAAATTTCTACAAGATATTGATTCAAGACTATAGGTTTTCATTAGCTTACACAGAGTTTCGCAAATACTAGTGATAACACGACAAAAACCAGCTCTATAAAATGCAAAGCGAAAAATAGAAATAAGCCTCGAATTAGTAAAAATTCGGCAGCGTCTGAGATTCGAACCTATTACCAAGAGTTTAAGCATCTCCCATACTACCCACACAGCCACGGAACCTTAATATGTACGGAAGACTTGGCACAAATAAAGCAGAGAGCAGATGCTATGCAATTTCCAATGTACTGTGAAATTTCCAAATAAGTGAGCACTTTTATTTGCGAGATAGGTTAGAAAAAAAGAAGGTTCGTAACAATACACCAAGCTGATCGCTAGTGTAAATACTGTCCCAAACAAAAACCCATTTATCTCATGAAATCCATTAAAAGTCGATTGTAATTCCAGTCAACAGATTTTGCAAAAAAAAAGAGTAATTTTTCGTTCTAGGAACTTCGGCCGTGATAAAGCTAGGTGTTTTAAGTCTACCAAAACTAAACTTGAATAAATAATTGACACTGTGATACGTGCCTTGTCTCGGGAGGTTATCTTGGAGGCTGCCTGTAGAAAGGTCCCGTCGCCTCCTACTGAAATTATGACTGAGGAGTTGGCTATGAGGTCTTCCGTGTAATCCTCCCGCTGCACTGTCGTCCCATCAGCTCCCAAATCTCTAGTAAAAATGATACAGCACTAAAATTATAGTTCAAAGAAAATAGTTTTGAATTTTAAAATATATTTGTTTATTGAAAAACGCGAAGCATGATTGTTTCGTCATTTTAAAACGAATAGTAAAAAAAAAGATACAGCACTGATTCATTCACATTCGTTTTAAAATGATGAAAGAATCATTTCAAAACTATTTTCTTTGAACTATAGTTTTAGGCCTGGTGTATGAACAAGTCAAAGTAGAACTCCCTACCATATAAATTAGCCGAAAACGCTCCGCATTTAGATGATTTTTATGAAACAGATACCACAATATATTATACTTTTAGAACAAATGACATAAGATGAGGTTGATTATTCACTCTTTTCATTTTCATTTCGTTAATACTTAGGCGGTTTTTAGAAACATTAAATCTAACATTCAACTAGCAACATCACAAGGTAAAATATACTCGATTTCTCCAAATTTGCGAGCAAGGATTAACGAACTTCAATGGATCACAAAAACGATGCAAAAAATGACATAAGTGACAAATGAAAATAGAAAAGTGGCTTACTTGAGAGTTTGTTCCACTTTTTGTAGCACCGAATAGTGCTGCTTGTGTTTGTCTATCAGGTTGTCGTAACTGGATCCCTGAAGCTGCAGGAACTGCTTCAACTCACTGCCTCTGATGCCCCACCTCTTCTGCTCAAACTCCAGTCGAGTGTACTTCGAAACGATCAGAGGCTTCGACAAATCCACTCCACCATCTTTGGATCTGTTAGTAAAAAACGATAGTATTAATTAGTAATATACTGGCGTCTTGAACATCATGAAGCATTGAAATAAACAAAAAATTCGTGATGAATCTTGAGGGTTGCAGAAAAAACAGCTGGCAAATTCAAGAAAATTGCTTCAACTATTCAAACTTTCAAAACTGAGTTAGATCAAACTACTTCAGATTCGCTCGGACGATTTTTCCTTTCATCTATAGCTCAGAAATTCACAGAAGCTATTTAATGGCAATGAAAAAAACCATACAGAGGCGAAAAATAAAAAAAACACAGACACAAAGAACAGACAAGTCGCAGACACAAACAAAAAACTGCAAACAAGAGAGCTATTAAAACGGCGAAAAAGGTGAATGCAAGAAAGTACAGAGAAAATTATTGTAAGAAATTCCTGGAAAAAAACTAGCTTGACAAAACAAAAACTAAGACGATGGGATTCGAACACGGGTGTCCCTACCGAGAGACTCTTAAGTTTACCAATTAGCCATGGGGATTCGAAAATTGCATACTTTATTCTAATTTCACGCATACTTTGTTCTTAGTTTTCAGGAAGAAAAGAAGGCATGTTAATAAATGCAAATCACGTTGTTTAATTATTGCGTAAATTTTGCACTAAATTTATCATATTTAGTTGGAACGAAAAGACGAAAATTACATCAATAATTTCAATCAAAACAAATCCCTACGGTGTTGGGGAGGCTCGGCTGGACCTTCGGTGGAGTTAAATCTAATTATTTGCAGCATAAGAAGTAGAAAGAAAGCATTTAATGAATTTGAATTGTGAAATGAATGTCCAGATTGATTCATACCTCTAACCACCAGCCGATTTAGGGGAGGAGGGGGGGTTTGGGGCGGACACTCTCATCAGGAATTCGACCCCCTGCCGACTCAAAGGACCCCCTTTGTACTATTTTGAGATATCCATTTTTGGTGACGTACCCTAAAATTTTTCGAAAGGCGCCAAAATATACTAATTCTGAATAGGGAGCACGCGCCAAAAAAACGCGATTTTTTGATCAAAAATTTCCAAAAATTGCCTAGAAACGCCTTTTTTGGCCTGTTTTTTCAAGAGCTCTGAAAATCAATTTGGTCGACCTAAAAAAAGGTTTTTACAGTACGGCTGCATTAAAGCTTTTGGACACGAAAAAATTGTTGAAAACGTTTCTGAGAGATCTCTGTTGTTGTTAGGGTATTTTAATTGATTTTTTTTACTCGCAGACACTCCATTCTTATGATCTTTGAAAATATCGAATTATCTGAAGCAAAATATGCTCTGCACATAGAGGCGAAGCGGAGGTTCGCATTGCTTATGATGTATCACAAAAAATGGGATGACAAACTGGCAGACAGACACAACATGAGACAAAAGCCACTAGGTTGAAAAATTATTTGAACAAAAAAGAAAACTGCCGAAACTAGTAAAAACTATTATAGGTGGGTGTCGACGAATGGACTTCAAATGATGAAAACTTAGAGCAGAACTGCCAGCGCTAAAAAGTATTCGAGCAAAATGTATCTAGCGGTATTTAAACCGTCAATACTGGGGTGGACGACAGATCAGCTCAAAACAACAAAGTATTGTCACAAAAACAGCTACAAAAAGTCAAAGTTGAAACACGCCCAATCACGAGGCATACGCTCGCTTAGAAAACTGATATCAATCCCTAACCAACGCAATATGAGATGTCTATGCCGAGATATCAACGGCCGAAATTGTTGAAGCCGACTAATCTTTTAAGAGAAAAAAAAGAAATTTTTCAAAAACGGAGCTATCAAATTTACAAATAAAAAGACGTAACCAAAAAAGCTATCAATTTTTAGAAAAATAATTTAAATTTGCGTTAAAACCACGCTGTGATAGCTAACAGACAAAACCTAAGCAGAAAGACAATAGAACGACACTTGAATCGTTCCTAGAAAAAAAACTAAATCAAGAGTAGTGATACACAATTTGTGTCCGTAACAACAACCGGTAGCCCAGTAGTTTAATTTGAATTTTCAAGAATCAGAGCATGTTAGCACATTAATTTAGCACATGTGCTATTACCAATGATTCAAGCGTTTTTGTTACACAAGCTGATGGCCTGACAAAAAGATTATTTAACGATTGGATAATGCTTGCTAATCGCAAGTGTAATAAAAAAAAACACAAAAAGGTCGTTTCCCCGTGTGAAATAGCAAGTTTCAATAGCAGCATCAGTCAATGTTTTAGTAAAAACCAAACATTTCTCAGAAAAAGCCCAAATTTTACACTTTCATACTATTATATTACACTATTATTTTATGGAAAGCGTAGACTTAAAATCATTACTTCAATTTATCATAAATTTTTCAGATCTTTTTTTACTTACCCTGGAACAGCACCGCTGTTGCTTGAGTTTCGTTGGCAGATGAGGTTTGCAGCTGAATCACGCTTCGGCAAAACAGTCCTAGCATGTTTCAAGTATGAATGAGATCTTGCTGAGCATTTGAACGCAGTCATCAATATTATAACTTCACATGTTTCAACTCAGCCTGAAAAATGATATACAACAGCAGCGAATAAACTATGAGCAAAATCTTTAATTTGAATTAGAAAAACCGAGTGTAGATGAGCAAGCGCATTAACCTATTCCAAATTAGTAATATTTCATTGAGATTTTACAAGGGCGAACGAAAACCCTTGAATCGACACAAAATATTGGAAAATGCGGAAAAATGGGATTCATTAAAATAGATCTTATTGAAACAACTAGAGATGACACATTTGATACTCTGTTAGAAAGCTATAACAAGACTGCTCGTAAACCCAGGATGTTCCGACTGTCTTTTCAGGTCGATGCAGTAGTTGCTCACTTTTTCAAAATGGATAAATATTTCATAAAACAAAATATTTAAAAAAAAATTGATTTTTTTTGGAAAATCATCCTCCATACGATGTGTAAAGAAAAGAGATAAATTTCGCCTATAGCAAAGTATTAAATGCACCAAAAAGAATGCCTTAATTCATTTTGGAACAATTTCTACGACGGATGAAATCTACGTTTATGCGTTAAAATATATATGTGCGCGTTAATTGTCCCAAATGGCCATATTAGCAAACTTTTAACCCCCATAACTTAACAAAAAAAAGATTAAATGAAAAATATCGTTTTAAATTTGAGTTCAGGACAACAATACTTTTCGATTGATAAAAAAAATTCCGTCAAAAATGGCTAGTTAAAAAGCCGAAACTTGTCTGGAGAAAAAAAACAACCCCGAGCACAAATATTCCGTCACTTTCTTCGACCGTCGGAAAAGTTAGAGCTGCGAAGATTGTCAGCAAGTCAACAATCATGGAAACTCGCTACAAATACGTTTTTGGCAAGAATATGTTAACTCGCAACATATAAGGAAAGCAACGTCTCTCTTTATATAATAGGCCAAAAAAGGCGTTTCAATACACTTTTTGGAAATAATCGACCAAAAAAACGCGGATTTTCGGCGCGCGATCCGCCCCTCAAAATTAGTATTTATTGGCGCCAAAGGCGCCTTTAGAAAAATTTCAAGGCCAGTCATCCAAAAATGGATATCTCAAAATAGTACAAAAAGGGACCCCCTAAATCCGCTACTGTCTACAACCTAGATTACAGCCAACACTGATTGACACACATCATACCACTCGTGCCGAATGTTAGTTGCGGTCGCTACTTGCCAATGCTGTGTTTTGGACTAAATTTCTAACTTTGAGAGTTGGTCTTTTCTTGCAATTTGTCGCATAAACTTTATCGGCTAGCAAAAATTTCCATCAAAACATTTGGAAATAATATCCGAAAATCACATGAAAGATTTACAAAGATTATTTGCAGATTAGGCAGAGCGAAACGCTAACTTCAAAAATGTGTCAAATAGAGAAAAAAACAAGCTCTTCACTGAACACAGAATTAAACAAGACTGCTCGTATCAGGGTGAAGCCTTTCCTGTTCCGACTGCCTTTTAAGGTCTATGGAGCAGTAATAACAGGAAAAATTAAATGTAATAAAATCTCGAATTTCTCAAAATTAAATTTCGATTAAAATCTCAAAATTAAATTTCGATTAAAAATCTCGAGCACAAATCTTCCGTTACTTTCGTAAAGAAAGTCGGAACAACAAGACTGCTTGTATTTAAGGGCGAGGCATGGAATATTCTGACTGCACTTTAAGACCAATTAAAAAAAACTGTTGAATAATTGACAAAAAAATCGCAAAAAAAATGAAACGTTTTTCATTTCAATCCCCCGCATGCATACATCATGTAAGCTACAAAGGGTAGCGTCTCTTATTGTCTTAAAAAGACTAAATTGCTGGCCTCAATTCTATTTGGAACGCATTAATCGCCGCTTACGCGTGTCATAAGAACGCATTATATTGTGCGTTTTTTATCCCAAATTGACCAAATTGGCAATTTTCAAACCCCCGTAGTTTTACCAAAAATGATCACAGTTGAAAAATATATGCCAACAGATTATTAAATTTAAACCAGCTAAGTGAAGATTTTCTATGCAAATGCGAAACAAAAGAAATATCATAAGAAGAGGTAGAATTCGCTTCGAACCACATCCGATAGAAAACATCATAGAAAACGATGACAAGAAATATATTTACCCTTATTAAAAAAACCGTTTTAGAAAGAATTTCAAGCGGCAGCAAAGAAATTGTGGCAGAAAAAATCTGGAGTACAAATATGTTCATAAAACCTTCTAATCATTAAATAAATTTTTAAAACAAAAAAAATTGGATGAAGAGCTCATAACCTGTCTTCGAATTCTTATTGATTTTTGGAGAGAAAAAAAAGAAACCTATTTTCAGAAAAGTTAATTCCTTTGGAAAAAAATTATGTCCACACTTCAAAGTTGGGAAAACACTCAATTGTTTTCCTCCTATAATAGCCCGCATATTTATTATTATTAAGAAAGCCAAATCACCTTAACAAAAGAAAATTTTGCCAGATAAAAATTGATCGAAATTCAGTCTTTTTGAAGCACGCTTAAACGCCGGCTTTAAAGAATTGAAAATGATGATGAAAAATAGTTAAAGATAAGAGCTTTAAGATACCAAAAAAATTGAAACAGCAATACGCTTCAATCTCATCGAAAACTTTCGACACTGCGCTCTCAATGGGCCAAAGTAAATAGAAAGTCGGAAATAAATAGCTAGCAACAAAAATTAAAACTTTAGAAGAACCAAAAGAGCTGCAGAAGCAATTTAGATTGAATGTATAGAGAAACTTCGTGATAAAAAAGAATGCAAGACTCACACCTTAAGCCCTAAGAAAAACAAACCAGAAAACTAATTCTGAAAATAAAAACCCACCTTCAAATGAAGTATTTCGCGGTTTTTCGCACAATTTTTACTTTTATTGGAGAGCTTAATTTTCCTTCCTTTTAGCGTAATTAGTTTGATATGAATTTGATAAGAAACAAAAAATCAAGCCGCGAAACATCAATTTTGAGCGTGAATAACGTCAAAGCCTTTTCCTCGAAAAATACACGGCCTAATTAAGGACAAATCACATTAAACAATGAAAAACTTGGAAAAAACCGTACCTAACCCAAAATTTAATGAAAATGGTTCAAGATTGTTAGACACAACCAAATTTAAACAAGGATATCTGGTTGCAAATGCAGAGAAAATTCCTAAAATGTATTATGGGGAGAAATATATAATAACTTTCTTTTCGTTCATCTGAAAAAAATTGGGTCGTTTTTAGTCAGTGGTCTGATGAGTCGATCTAAACGAAAGCCTACAACTTAAGCATATTCGAAAGTCATTGTGAATAAGGCATATTCGACAACAATTTTCGAATAATTGTCGAAAAATGAGTAGAAAACGATGAAAAACATGGTACGACCGGGACTCCAACCCCAAACCTTAGGGTGTAAAGGCAACCGCATTACCTCTACGACAAAAAGGAAGCAGTCTCGAAGTCGCTTAGGATCACTAATAAAGCAACTTCACAATTAATTTCGTACAGATTTGTATGAAAAATTGTTTACGAGAAAAAAGTCTAGTTCCCGAACACTAGTGAGAACACTACAAAAAACAGCTCTATAAAGTGCAATAAGAAAAAATAGAAATAAGCCTCGAATGAGATGAAATTCGGCAACGTCTCAAATTCGATCTGTGACCAAGAGATTATGAGTCACACGCACTAACCACTCAGTAAATCACAAAAAACTAGTCACAAATAAAGTAGAGAACAGATGCTATGAAACTTCCATCGCTACAGATCGTGATTATAGCAAGTGACACCAAATAAGTGAACACTTAAAATGAATACTTTTATTTCCGAGTTAGGTTAGAAAAAAAGAAGGTTTGTAATAATACACTGACGCTCGCAAGTGTAAAGATAATATGAACAAAATTACTCTTGGGTGTACGATATTTTTTCCGAATGTTTGTTTCGTACCAACTTATCTGTAATTTGTTACTTAGAAATGTTGTTATTTAGAAATGCAGTCAGGCAAATTCATTCCCATATAAAAAAAAACATAAAATGATAATGAAAATATTTGTCTGCTAGGCAATTATTGTCACAAAGAGTATACAAAAAAGTTGAAATAGCTGTAAAGTAGGGAAGCCTGAAAACGTCTCCAATCGCCAAAAAATAATCATACTAAATTCGGAAAGCATTTTAAAAGCTACTTTTATAGCAAGAGACGCATTCGGTAAAACTTTCATGGTGTCATGACATTCTACCCTATTCCAATCTACCTTGCCCTTTTACCCTATTAAAGAGATTTCAATACTTTCCGAATTAGATTTGATTCTTTTTGGTGATTGCCCTTGTACTGTATTCAAATAATCAAATCTATCCTGCCCTTGTACCCTATATTATCCTCATTTATCGCAGAGTTTTATGAACAAACGTATCCAATTTGGTACTACACGTAGTTTATGAAACGAGTCATGAAGTGGCACAAAAATAATCTCTAATCTCCTCTAAACAATCTCTTCTCTACTCTAATCTCTCTCTACTTTTCAGAGAAGAAAACTGAAGTTTGTATTATAACAAAGGAAACTTATAATGCTTCGGACTGAAATTTTCTCGAACCAGAAGAAAATTGAAAGATGCGAGTCTTGCTTTTATTTCGATTCGAACATCAAAATCTAGGAACAACCTTCTCCTTAGCATCTTGGATGCAAAAAGTTGTCGTCACAAATGGTTCTGCCAGAACAAGCCATGGAAAACTGAAAATTTGGCATGCAAAAACTCTAAGCAGTTCCAACCCATTGTGGAAGTGATTGGCTGTGTTCAAAAAGGTGATACTATGCTTTGATGCATCTTTTTGAATGCAGTCATGCACTTCTACATACTGAGGTTTGATCCGCTGAAATAAGATGCCAACACTTGGAGCGCCCAACACTCCCAAAAAGAGCAATCTAAAAGAGCAAGTTCAGAATAATTAATAATTTGGTAGCTCAGAGGAAAAAAACTCATCTGGAATTTCTGAAACTTCATCTAGATTACGCTAAAACAAATAATTGGTCGTGTTCCCTCTTGATGCTCCTATGAAGTATTTTCTTTACAAGCTTTGTGCGAACAGATGATTGATTGCAGCTTCCCAGTAAATGTGGACTGCTAGCAATATAATCCAGAATAACTTAGACCCCTGGACGAAAAAGTAGCGCATGCTTTTGAGTTAGTTAGAAGTTAGCGAAGTGTTTCAGGTACACTGAGCTCTTACAAAATGCATGAGCTTGTGATTAAATCGCGATTCGAAAAACTCTTAAGATACATATCATGAACGATTCAAAAAATGTTTTAACTTTTTGTCGAAAAACCTGTGCAAAGCAAAACGTTTAATAAATTCTCAAAAAAAGCAACAAAATTTCCGCAAAAAACAGGTCCTGGCCGGATTCAAAAAAGCCTTTGCCGTCTCAAACATTTTTGTTACCTTTACGCCAGATGCGCTGGATGATTAAATGAAATTGAACTTAATTCATAAGGCATGTTGAAACTAAATTTTCACTCGGCATCTTGTGAATGAAGTCTAGTACTCCGTTGCAACACCCTTGCTTATCGTAAAGGTAAAGAATCGCTATAACATATAAAACAAATTAACACTAAAGAAAATTTGTTTTATCAGTACCTGGAGGAAAGCACTGCGAAAACCTATGGAATGGGTAACAACTTAGCAAACAGACCAGACAGTTGGAACACTGTCAATGGAAAACTCATATTTGAACGTGAACAAATTTTACAAAGCGGCGAAGCGGAGCTTCGCAACACTTGAGATAAAAAAAACACATTGCGCTAAATGCGTGAATGACATAAAAAGTCAAAAAAATTCTGAAACATTATGTTCGAAATTACTTGAAATAACTTGACGAAAGTTGAAAAATTACAGCTACAAAAACTTCATATTTGTATCAGATGAAGTTCACAAACCGCCTTTAAAGAATAGAAATTATTTACTTAAAAAGAAATGATGATCCTCTAGAAGTACACCCTGTGGACGACGCTTAAGGGAAAAGTACCGATTGCAATACCCTTGCTTATCGCAAGGGTAAAGACTTCCTTGAAGCACAAAAAAAATCCATCACTAATATATCTTACGGCATGAAATTTAAAATTCAAGATTTTGTGGATGAACTAGAAAATGGAATTAAAATGGCTAAAACTAGAAGCCACTAACAAAACTAGTTCATAATGTTTGCTAATTCTGTGTAGAGGGTTGAGACATTTTTCGTATGAATCGATGTCAATTTTTAAACTTGATTTTAAATTTTCAGCAAATTTAGAAAAAATCCGGGTGATATATTACAATAGGTGGTAGGTTCAATTTCAATAGCTGGATCGCTTTTTGTTTTACTTCGCACATTTATAATTTTTTCAAAAGCCATTTTTTTCGGCAAAAGAAGTGAAAAATTTGATGTTTTGAACAAAATTTCATTTGGCAGAATAATATATGTCGAAATTACTTAATGCATTTCAAGTTCCGTGGTAACATTTTTAAATTACAGGTAGCACCCGGTCTTTGCTCTATTTGAAAAATCGATTGATTGTTTTTTTGATTAAATATTCAATTGGAATATCCGGTTGGCTATTTGCACGCATATTTTAAAACTGAAAATCCACTATAAATTGAAGTCGCTCACGTTTTTCGCTGAATCTGGATTCATGTTGGAAAGTGTAATCTGCTTTTGTAAATGAAGAATTAACCTCGAATCATTGACCAACAATAACTTTCAAAAACTTTCAGGTTACTTTTAAAATAGTCTTACTTCCTGCTGATTTAACGTGCGTGAAGTTCATCTTTTCCAAATATCTTTGCTCCAAGAGTGTTCTAGTTAAACAATTTATTTGAGTCATTAATTGTGAACAGGCAACATTATTTCAAATATTCAACTTGAACTCAGTTTATCAAGTAGGTGCAACATCGTCAGCATTAGTTAAGTTAAGGTCAGCACATGAAACTGCTCAGCAACGTATTCAAGTGTATATCAAAATTTAATGTCAGGTCACGTTTCAGTGGTTGGTTACAGCAGTCAAGATTCAATTTGTTGGGGAGTGCTCAGTAGTTGAGTTTCTTTGTTTCTGCTAGTTCGGTTCAATACTTGCACTTCTATTTGTAGCGCATAGTATTATTGTTGTTTCTCTAGGGGTGCTCACTTCTTGGAGATGCTCTTGATCAGATCTACCACTCGGTGACTGTATCCGTACTCATTGTCATACCTAAACATCACCCATTGCAAACAAACAGCTCTATTCAGACCAGTACGTCATAGTGTAATTATCGCGATCAAAGTGAACACGATGCTGCTATTTAGAAAAACTTTCCATTTGCTTAAGAGAAACTCATTTTATATCAATTCAATGGGGGCGTTATTTGTGAGAAAATACTTATTGCATAACTGTTTTCATTCAAAAAAACTGACAAAGTGATCAACTATTGATTGTGCATCTTCCTACAGTCTCGCTTACCAGGAGATGAGTTTGACGAATTGGGGCGACAGGGCGATGCATGCCTTGGCGTCGAAGATGGACGAGTGGGTGTCCGAAATGAAGTCAGTGGACACCACGTCATCCTCAGTGTACGCCAGGATGCTCTTCAGCTTCTCACTCTCACTGGCCTGGAAAAGAATCACAATAAATCTAGCACTTAAGAATCTAGAACCTGTTACCCACAATAGGTCTTGTACGTTATCTCATATTAGGGTGAGGTTGCCCAGTTGAGGCCTCGTCTTCAGCCGCATCACCGGTAGTTCAAGACCACCATGATCAATTTTCGTATCTTGCTAGGGTGAGGCTTCGTTACTTGACCCAGAAGTAATTAATTTCATTTCAGCTAATTCGAAGACAATGACATTTGTTCAAGCTCTAAATGTGATACACCCTGAAAAGTGTTTGTAACATTGGCTCATATCAGAATTTTCTTTGTAACCTTAACTACGCACCTTCTTGACTACAGCCTTGATCTCATCCATGGAGGCTGGCTTCCTCAGTCTGCAGGTCAGATCTACCACAGACACATTGGGCACTGGGACTCGGAATGCCATGCCAGTCAGCTTGCCATTCAGCTCCGGGATCACCTTGCCCACAGCCTTGGCCGCTCCCGTGGAGGCCGGGATGATGTTCTGGAACGCCCCTCGGCCATCACGCCAGTTCTGAAACAATTTCCAAGTATAATAGAAGAAACAGAAGGCAGCTTTGCCATCGTGACTACTCGGGTAGTTATCTCGATACTATGATCTAACTCAAACATTTCCGAAATAAAAGAGTTTTAAGCCGAAACTTCCGAATTCCTGTCAAGAAATCAGGACGAAACAGCCGAAATCTTGTCATTAGAAATGAGGCTTCTTAAAAGTGGAGACAGCCATACCTTTCCGGAGGGTCCGTCGACAGTCTTTTGGGTGGCAGTGACTGCATGCACAGTGGTCATCAGTCCCTCTTCGATGCCGAACTCATCATTGATGACCTTGGCCAGAGGAGCGAGACAGTTGGTGGTGCAGGAGGCATTGCTCAGGATGTTCACACTCGGCTCATAGGTCTCCTCGTTCACTCCAACCACATACATGGGCGCATCTGCAGACGGCGCAGAGATGATGACCTTCTTCGCACCACCAGCCAAGTGAGCTTTAGCCTAACGAACAAACAAAATCTAGATAAAATACTAGAAAACAAATTACAACTAAGAACTCCTTGAATACACTTGCTAATTAACGCAAATGAGTGCTCTACCTTTTCAATGGTTGTGAAAACACCGGTGGACTCCACCACGTACTCTGCTCCATCAGCGCCCCAGGGGATCTTGGCGGGGTCCTTCTCGCCATGGACTGCGATGCTCTTGCCGTTGATGACAAGCTTGTTCCCGTCAGCCTTCACTTCGCCCTTGAATCGCCCGTGGGTCGAGTCATATTGGAACATGTACACCTGTAGCAAGACAACCAATCACAACTAACAAGGGGAGAACGTTTCAACATTTAAAACCAAATTCAGATTTTCTTCACCTGGTTTCTTCAAAATTCAAGTTTTGGATTACGCCTTCTGTTGGCGTGATATTTCAGCTCTTATTGGGATGGGAAATTATTGCTACTGGATAAAGAAAATCGATTACAAGGTCCTGTCAAAAATGTCACAATTTACTTGGAATTTAAATCAACCAACTGAAATTCACAGCCAAGTAGATTTCAGCCCATCATTACAAGTCACTTTAACATCCCATTTGCAGACCAATTTACGAATTTAGCAACGAACTGAAATCCCCTATTAAGCGTATGACATGCACACGCACTACTTCTCATATTTAAATTTACCTCACAAATGATCAACTGTTAGTCTGAATTCGGTCTGATAGGGTAAGTGTACTCTCAAAAATACAGGAAGGAATAGTCAATATTAGCTCACCATGTACTTGACATCAAGGAATGGATCGTTGATGGAGACGACCTCAACGTCCGAGTGTTCAGTTGAGCATCGTGCCACCAGTCGGCCGATTCTGCCAAATCCGTTGATGCCAATCTTGACCATTTTGAATAAGAATTGAGTAGTTGTTGAATATATTCAGAAGTATGCAAGATAGGAGGGGTGTAGAATTGTGTTTAGTTTCAAATGACACGTATATTTGCACGAGAGCACAACTAGAGTCACACAGAGCGAATCTGAAACCAAATCAGAAACCAGTCCAATAAATACCTGAAGTAGAATACACTCAACCACACAGCTCTTTTAAAACTAATTCAACGACCAATAACAAAAGCTGTACTGCCATTATCCTGTCATATACAAAAATTCCGCAGACAAAAATGCACGCTACACTGCTAGTTTGTCTATGACAGACTAATTTTCAAGTAAACAAATAATTTAATGTCCAGATGTCACACCACTGCCTTCGGCTAGGATATGAATTTTGCTGAAGGAATATCAGATAAGAAACACCACACCAGTCACAGAAAATTAATATCAGTGTTCGATCTACCAGTTGAAGTCAAAGGTCACCAAATTAAGAACGTTTAATGGTGTTCACAGTCTTGTGTCAAGGTCACAAGAAACCATTTAGATTTACGCGCACAGACCTATAGAGTTGCAAAAAGTTCGGAAAGACAGAATTAATTAAAAAGAGCACCTGTCTAGACATCAACGTAAATTAAAATTGAAATAAACAATAGCGTCAAAAGTTCATGAAGCAGAGTTTTCGCATAAAACCGATAACCACGACGGGCAATTACATCCTTATGCGTCGAATGGTCAACCTTGAAACAGGAAAATTATTGCTCAGGGTGGCCAATGTTTTTCTGCGATTAGTTTCCAAATTATAAATCATCTTCAATTCCGTTTGGGCGGCCTGATCTGTTATTTTTGTTGTTGAAAATGACTCCTTGATATATTTTTTTAAGTTAAACACCATCAACGCTAGATTTCCATTTTTTAACTAATTTTGCTAAATGTTTTATCGTAAAAACTGGAATTTCATCGCAGTATTTAAAAATTAGGCTAGTATAATCATCGGATAATCGACGTCGCATATTGAATTTGGTCTGACAAAGAATTCAAGGTTTTTCGGCTTCAGATTTTGCATGCAAAAAACGTCGAAAAGCAGTGATTGCTCAATATAATTATTTCTGTCTGTCCGAACTTTTTGCTACTAATTATATTATGGTTCTGCTCGGGAACTGCAAAATTGGAAAATCATGAAGTTCGACGAAAAAGCGCGCCTGATATTTTTTAGCTACTTTCTACAGTGCTTATTTAAATTATCCGGACAAAATGAACAAAACTTGAATTTTCAAAGCCGTTTTTCGCAAATTGGGTTAAGATTAGACAAAAAGTAAAGAGAACAAAAGTTGCTTTGAATTTCATCAGGAATAATGTGAAATTTCTTCTGAAATTCTCAAGCAAAATTTTAACCCAAAAATGGGTAATTTTGGCTTTTTTCAATTAATCCAAAATTACGCTGAAACTACGTTGTCAATTGATGAAAAACATATATCACAAGAAGCCGCTTACACAGCCCAACAAACTTCTAGAAGGGATAAATATCCAAAAACCTGTTTAAGAGAATATTTTTGCTTGATAGTCAAGAAATGTGATTTTTACTTTATAAAACCCAAAATCTGTGCTCAAAAAACAAATTTAAACAATTTACTCAAATTTTTGGAGATTTAACCTTTCTAGAAGTTTGTTGGAGTGTGTAAGCGGCTTCTTATGACATATGTTTTTCAATTGGCAAAGTAGTTTCAGCGTAATTTTGGATTAATTGAAAAAAGCCAAAATTATCCATTTTTTTGGGTTAAAATTTTGCTTGAGAATATCAGAAGAAGTTGCATCACATTATTCCTGATGAAATTCAAAGCAACTTTTGTTCTCTTCACTTTTTGTCTTATCTTAACCAAAATTGAGAAAAAAGCGTTTGAAAATTCAAGTTTTGTTCGTTATGTCCGGATAATTTACATCAGCACTGTATACAATGCTGATTTAAAACATCCGGGTAAAACACATTAAACTATAAGAGTACTGAAATAGTAACGAATCATCCAGAATTTGAATTTCAGATACGACTACAATTGTCATCAACTAAATAAATTAACAAAAAAAATGAAAAAAAAAATACTGAACTATAGCACTAATTTTTTTTTTCATTTTGAATTTTCTTTCCTTTACTCGATCACTTCACTCGATTTTAATTCCGTTTTTCTCGACAGTGGGAAAATTAATTGGAAATTTTTCATGTCTTTCAAATCACGACTAGAAGGGTTTTATTATATATTTTTGGAAAACAAAAAATTTGAAAAAGAAAAAACACCAAAAATAGACAAGCTGTGTAGAATCGGCCGAGGGGACTCGTACACACATAAATACAAAGTTCCTTCCAATTTTCAATGGTCGAAACGTATAATGAGGTGCATATAAATTTGCATCAAAAATTCAGCTTTTCTGCTAAAACGAACTGTGGGTAATCAAATGGTGATAATGAAAAATATCAAGTGCTTCTTGATACACGAAGTCAGTTAAAGAGCAATGAAAGGGAATCCGATTGAATGCACACTCAAAAATACAATCTCCCTCCACGAAGAAATGCTACAAAACACAGTGCTTAACTGATAGCCAGGCAAGGCACACGTAATACTTGCAGTCTACGTCAGTCTAATGAAAAGCAGTAGAGTATAAATTCCATTTAAAATGGAAAGCCAGGATTACATACAATATCCTTAAAATGGAAAGGCAAGAAAATAGAAAACCTACAGGCCGCTACCGCACAAAACAAGCACGTCTACGTCAACTCCAATTTATAAGCATACTATTTACGAGGTACGTACTAGTATACGGAACGTAATGCTTAACGCAGCGTACTTTGTTTTTTTTTACTGCCAATGCTTTACGGAGAACGATTCTCTCAAATTATTCGCGCCGCCTTTATGACCTCAGGGACCAGACAACGTGTAAACACAATAGAATCAGTAAAATACAAAACACAACTTTAATCCGATCTGTAAATTAATCTCTAAACCATTGATAAAAAGCAGGCAATTCATAAATTTATAGCATTGGTAGTGTAAAAGATTTAATAAACAACTCTAAATTTGAAATAACTGATTGAATGATTGACAAATAAGCAGAATGTAATTTATGATTGACGAACTTGGAAACATGGTGACTTATCCGTTCGATAACTAGCATAACAAGCAGGTAACAAAATGAAGCACTGTCACTGAGAGGAATTCAGTGAATTTACATTTCCTTGTCCATTATGAAAATGAACAACTGCTTCGCCTTCACTTGGTCATCAAACAAGTAGTACTTCATCCGATCATCCTCGCTGTCTCTAAAGGCGATCACAGCATTCTCACCAGACTCACTGGTCTTAGCGTCTGAGTGCAACTTCTCGCCCGCCAAGTTGGATACCTTGGAGACGCTACTGATTGTTACATAGTCGTACCAAATAGCTTTACTCGCCATTGAGTAACCGGTAACTAGGTGCGCATCTCTGCCTAAACAATTTCCAAAAATTTCAACACAAGTCACCAGTCCATTCTACCGATTTTTTCTTCTCATCGCGCAACTTTTCAATTGATGCAGATGGAAAACAATCAAACTAAATGACAAAAACAACACGAATATACGGAATTATACAGCTTGGACATCTTTTTCTTAGAAATTGCCTGCAATGAAATTTTTCAATTGTTTCTCTGAAAATAAAATAGAATTGAGAACGCGAAAACCCAAAAAAAATGAACAACAGATGTCTTACTGTGTTAGATTCGCGTGTTTTCTGGAAAAAAAATGAAGTGAATTGTGTTTAACCCATTAAGATGGATTCCATTTTGCGAGCTATAAACTTGAAACGGCGAAGCAAGTAGTTGTACTTACATCGATGCTGTATTAGCTCTTACAATAGAGTTTCATAGCAAAGCCTCAATTAAATGACACCGAAGATTAGGTTACATATCAGTATTTAGACAACTGCGTATTCAGACTGGTCAGTATTTAGACAAATACTGTTTCAACCAATCTGAATTAAGACAAAGAAGAAATTAATAAATAATTATTATTTATTTTGGATTATTTATGTCTTTTCTCGATTCTGATTGGTTCATACAGTATTTGCCTAAATACTGACGAGTATGAATACGCGGCTGTCTAAATACTGGCTGCACTCCGAAGATTACTTACCATTCGTATCCCATAAGCCATTAGACAGCGGTTTAGTAACTTGACACTTGAAACGAAGCTTGTCTGATGAAATGTCGTAATCGACCATGCTTTCTGAAAAAAATCTCACTTGCAATTTCACTTGCTTCAGTAGTAGTAAAGTATTCACGACCCAGTGCCTAAAGGTGTCAACCTCTCATTTATCAACTATTAATCATTCATCAATTAGTTGTACGATTCACCGGAGCACTGTTCATGCCAGGTGCACGTGATAACTTTATTGTATTTACTCCTTCGCTCCGGCATTACCATGGTCCCTACAATTATTCCCTTGCATGAGAGCATCATGAGAGTGTCAAAACATTACAATACCAACAAAGAATTCTGAATGTGGAACACAGCAGCGTTGTTCCACTAATTTTTGCAAGTACAAGAGGAGCAGCACCAGGCTCTACAAAAACCATTCAGAAACTAGCTGAGAAATTAAGCGAAAAACGGAACGAATCATACTCCGACACAATAAACTTTGTAAGAGCCAAAATTAATTTTGCGCTTCTGAGTAGAGTTGGCATGTTGTTGTTGTTGTGAATTTTCAGTAGGATACTGATGGGATGATATCCCCAAAGTTCTCAAAATGTGACATTCGACCAGAATGTGAAAAATGCAATCTCTGCAGAATTCGAATTTTTAGCAGCGAGCCTTCCGGATTGATGATTATTAAGAATTAAGAACGTTATTGGAACGATTGGCCAAACGGTGAGGGCTAGAATATTCTGGTATTTTAAAATTTTAAAAATTCGAAGTGATGACGTAACATTTCTGAGAAACGTCAGAAACGGCCATTTTGGCAAAGAAGTAAAAGAAAAAGACAAGAACAACATTAGCTGCGCTAACAACAACTACGGAATTGAGATTGGAAAACGACAGCGAGTTACAGAGTAACAGAGAACACTCCGAGTTGCAACTATTGTACTGCTACAATAGTTGCAGGGCCGTTGCAGACAACGGTGAAGGGTGAAAGACGGCCTTCCGGATTAAGGGGAAATCAGGATTAACGAGCTTGATCCAGCGGATTCATCAATCCGGAA